ATGAGTTGTACAGGCTTTTTGAATCATTTTTTTTAAGTGAATAGTCATTACTAGGAGGACTAGCTTGTTCAGAATGCATTACTTAGTTTTCTGATTTTTATGAGTCATGCAATTCAAAGTTAAGTGCAACACTTCTCTACTTTGATTTTCCGATGGAAGAAACTGTTTTGCATATTTGATAATAAGACTAATGGATTCTTCAATGATGCAATGCAAAAGCACTCAGCTGTTTGCTGCCAAAAATGAAGCGAAGGTAATGTGGAAGACGACTGCTACAAGCCTGCAGGCACAATGGAAGTTTGATCGCACAAATGCTCTGACATATAGCTTGCTTATATTTGCAGTTAAGTATTTAGAGGCAAAATAAATAACATTTTAAAGAATAAATGAAGTAAAATGTTGCATTCAAGATGGAATCGTTCTACTATAAGTTCCATGGTTACTCATTTCTCTAACACTTCAAATCACTTCATTCTTATGAACTATACACCCTCAAACAGCATCAAATATAAGATGCTTAATATATGTAAAATAATATATATCCAAGTAAATATAACTAAAAATATATATTTTCCAACTATTTTTAAAAGGATTTATTTATTTGAAAGGCAGAGTGACAGAGATGGAGAAAGAGAGACAAAAAGAGAGAACCAGAAAGCCACCTTCCATCTTATTGGTTCAATAGCCAAATGTCCGCAACAACCAGATCTGGGCCGGGAGGAAAGTACGAGTCAGCAGCTCCATCCTGGTCTCCCACATGGGTGGCAGGGCCACAAGTAGGTGGGCCATCTTCTGCTGCCTTCCAAGGTGCATTTTCAGGAAATGTGATCAGCAACGGAGCAGCCATGAGTTGAATCAGCACTCTGATATGGGATACTGGCGATGCAAATGTAACCTTAACCCACTACATTACAATGTCTGCATGCTTTGTTATTTTTGCAAGCAATAATGAATAGCAAAAATGAGTTGCATAAGAGGTATAATAGGTAGATCCAGAACCCTTCACTATATATGAACTGTGAAAGATACAGCAAAAATTGTCAGAAAAATGGAAAATGGTCAAAAGTGTAATTTTTAGAAGTGATAATAAAAGCATAAGAGATAAAATTTTATTTTATTTTTTAAAGATTTTGTTTATTTATTTGAGATGTAGAGTTACAGACAGTGAGAGGTAGACAGAGAGAAAGGTCTTCCTTCCGTTGGTTCACTCCCCAGTGGCCGCAATGGCCGGAGCTACGCCGATCCGAATCAGGAGCCAAGTGCTTCCTCCGGGTCTCCCACTTGGGTGCAGGGGCCCAAGGACTTGGGCCATCTTCTACTGCCTTCCCAGGCCACAGCAGGGAGCTGGATTGGAAGAGGAGCAGCTGGGACTAGAACCGGCGCCTATATGGGATGCTAGCACTGCAGGCAAAGGATTAACCTACTGCGCAACAGTGCCTGCCCAAGAAATAAAATTTTAAACTGTATAAACCAAGGGCATTATCAAGAAGGAGAAAAGATAAGCTAAAGAATGAGGAAAATATTTTTTAAAGATTTATTTATTTATTTGAAAGGCAAGGTTACGAGAAAGAGAGAGGGAAATAGAGATAGAGAGATCGTCCATCTGCTGGTTTACGTACCAAATGGCCAAAATGTCCAGAGCTGGGCCAGGCTGAAGCCAGGATCCAGGAGCTTCATTTTTTCTACCACATGGATGCAGGGCCCATGCTTCTGCAAGTGCATTAGCAGGGAACTGGATCAAAAGTGGAGCAGCTGAGGCACGAAACAAGGCCTATGTGAGATGTTGGCATCACAGGCAGAGGCATAACTCACTGTACCACAATGCCAGCTCTGGGAGAAAATATTTTTAAAGTGTATCTCTGATGCCAGTCTAGTAATCAAAATACAAAGATTTCTTACAATTCAACTCAAAAGGTCAAATGACCCAATAAAACTGACCAGGGACTTGACTTGAATATAAATGGAAAATAAGTGTATTAAAATAACATTCATCATTCGGAAATGAAAACCAAAATAAAAAGATGCCACTTTTTTTTAAACTTTTATTTAATGAATATAAATTTCCAAAGTACAGCTTATGGATTACAATGACTTCCTCCCATAACATCCCTCCCACCCGCAACACTCCCCTTTCCCATTCCCTCTCCCCTTCCATTCACATGAGGATTCATTTTCAATTCTCTTTATATACAGAAGATCATACATTAAGTAAAGATTTCAACAGTTTGCTCCCACACAGAAACATAAAGTGAAAAATAATAGATGATTTTTTAAATGATGATGAAATCAGATCAGACCTATTGTCATGTTTAATCCCAGTGAGAGTCAAGTTGGGAATTGATAATTTCTTCTTCTTTTTCTTTTTTTTTTTTTTTTACAGAAGATCAGTTTAGTATACATCAAGTAAAGATTTCAACAGTTTTCACCCCCATAGAAACACAAAGTGAAATATACTGTTTGAGTACTCGTTATAGCATTAAGCCTCAATGTACAGCACATTAAGGACAGAGATCCTACATGAGGAGTAAGTGCACAGTGACTCCTGTTGTTGACTTTACAAATTGACACTCCTGTTTATGGCATCAGTAATCTCCCTATGCTCCAGTCATGAGTTTCCAAGGCTATGGAAGCCCCTTGAGTTCTCCGACTCTTATCTTGTTTAGACAAGGTCATAGTCAAAGTGGAGGTTCTCTCCTCCCTTCAGAGAAAGGTACCTCCTTCTTTGAAGACCTGTTCTTTCCACTGGGATCTCACTCACAGAGATCTTTCATTTAGGTGTTTTTTGTTTGTTTGTTTGTTTGTTTGTTTGTTTTTTGCCAGAGTGTCTTGGCTTTCCATGCCTGAAATACTCTCATGGGCTTTTCAGCCAGATCGAATGCCTTTAGGGCTGATTCTGAGGCCAGAGTGCTGTTTAGGACATCCACCATTCTATGAGTCGGCTGTGTATCTCACTTCCCATGTTGCATCATTCTCTCCCTTTTTTATTCTATCAGCTAGTATTAGCAGGTACTAGACTTGTTTATGTGCTCCCTTTGACTCTTAGTCCTTTCATTATGATCAATTGTGAACTGAAATTGATCATTTAGACTAGTGAGATGGCATTGGTACATGCCACCTTGATGGGATTAAATTGGAGTCCCCTGGTATGTTTCTAACTCTACCATTTGGGGCAAGTCAGCTTGAGCATGTCCCAAAGTGTACATCTCTTCCCTCTCTTATTCCCACTCTTATGTTTAACAGGGATCACATTTCAGTTAAATTTCAACACTTAAGAATAACTGTGTATTAATTACAGAATTAAACCAGTCATATTAAGTAGAACAGACAAAAAAATACTAAGAGGGATAATGTATTAAGTTGTTCATTAACAGTCAGGGCTATGCTGATCAAGTCACCGTTTCCCAGAGTGTCCATTTCACTTCAGGAGGTTTCCTTTTTGGTGTTCAGTCAGTTGTCACCGATCAGGGAGAACATATGGTATTTGTCCCTTTGGGACTGGCTTATTTCACTCAGCATGATGTGTTCTAGATTCCTCCATTTTGTTGCAAATGACTGGATTTCGTTGTTTCTTATTGCGGTATAGTATTCTAAAGAGTACATATCCCATAATTTCTTTATCCAGTCTACCGTTGATGGGCATTTAGGTTGGTTCCAGGTCTTGGCTATTGTGAAGTGAGCTGCAATAAACATTAGGGTGCAGACTGCTTTTTTGTTTGCGAATTTAAATTCCTTTGGGTAAATTCCAAGGAGTAGGATGGCTGGGTCGAACGGTAGGGTTATATTCAGGTTTCTGAGGAATGCCACTTTTTACCCAATAGGGATGGTTGTAATTATTTTTAAAAGCTCCTAAACAGAAAATAAAAAGTGTTGGCCAGGATATGTGGACAAATTGGAACCCTCGCATTGCTAGTAGGGCAAGAAACTGGTATGGCTGCTGTTAAGGCAGTTTGGCCATTTCCAACAAGCTAAAGTTAGACTATTATGGGATCCAGGAATTCCACTGCTAAGGGAGGATACCAAAAAAGAATTGAGAACAGGTATGCACGCACTTGTACACAGAGATTTATAGGAGTGTTGTTCACAACAATCGAAGGACAGAAGTAATTCAAAATTTCACCTGTGGATAAATGAACAGGGAAGACATGATACGTACATGCAAAGAAATCAGAAGGAGCAAGGCACTGGTACCTGCTCTAATATGGATAAACAAATAATGTGAAAGAAGGTAGACTGTGTGAAGTCCCTGTGTGATTTAACTTGCATAGGATATCCAAAATAGGCAAATCCATATAAACTGAAATTGTGTTGGTGGTTGCCCAGAACTGTGGGGAAGAAGACAAGGGAGTTTAACAGGTAAAGGGTTTTCTCTTCGGGTGACAAAGATGTTTTGAAAACAAGTGTTGGCTACACAGCAGCACACATGTACTAGAAGCTAATGAATTATACATTTTAAATAGTTAATTGTGTGTTAAGTGAATTTAACCCTAATTAAAAAGGCCATTCCATAGATGCTGAGTGGGTTAATGTCATGCTTATTTTTGTGCAGGCTTACATAAACTTTGTTTGTCTATAGAATTTTGCAACTATTATTCAACTCATCCTTATTAGAAGTAAATTTTACTTATAATTAGTAACTACTAACTTAAAGCACTAATACCATTTTAATTGTATTGTATAGAGGTATATCTAAACAAAAAGATTGGGAAAGTTTGAGAATTCAATATGTACTGAGGAAAGACAAACGCAAAAGCAAGGGTGGGTATATTTACATCATAAAATGAAAAAAGAAATAATATTATTATATAATGAGTATATTTCAGTGATGTCAACATTTATACAAATCTAAATATGAAATAAAATAACATCAAGATTTTTAATTTAAAAATTATGTACCTTAAGCCAAACTGTTAAAATACTTAAAATACTTTTTATCAAATATTAATTCAGACAAAATCATACTTGAAAAAAGCAAGTACTTGATATTATGTAAAGCTCTTATTTACTGCATGCACTATTTTTTGATAACATAATAAAGAATTTGCTGAGGTTAATTAATATGTATATGCTTGACTAAGGTAAATTCTGAATAGGAAATGCTTGACTTCAATTTTTCATATACTTATAAAATCACCAGTATTTTTTTCCTTTGTGATGATGTAATATCAATCTGGTGAGAGAAGAGTACGCCAAGGTCAGTGGAAATTTTCTGAGGACTTCACTATTGTTTAATTGTAGAGGAAGGTAACTGGATTGAAAAGAAATACCCATTGATTCAGAAATTTTCATTGTAGCTGAAGTGTCCTCACATCATGATCTCTTATTCGAATTTATTAATTAGGTGTTAAAGTTTCAGAAATTATGTTTGGATTTATTAATCTGTAATAGTTACTGTGAAATTCTAATGTGAGTACATAGCAGTAAAATAAGCAAGAAACATCAAGCATTCAATTGTATATTCCAATTTCATATTGCTATTGTATACCAGTGGCAATTAATAATAATTAAAGCTATATCATAGCATGGCAATAATAATGCTACTATATTATAGTATTAGTAATTTTTAATGCATTTGATGTTTGGTGCCAGCTGTATATAGATTATTGGGGGTTAGTTTGCCTCAGATCATTGACTTTGATCAAGAGGGTATAAAGCAAGTGTTGGGATGAGTTTACTGGCCACAAGCCTGACTCACAGCAGGAGCCAAAAGGTGGTGTCAATAAGAATGTGGAAATGTAAGGCATTGATTGACAGCTGTGGCCCTTGACCCACTGAAAGACTTCAGAATTATTGCAATATGGAAGATTCTAATATGCGATAACATTGCACTCAGACGTACTAAATAGTAACATAATGAAAGGTTCAGTAAAAGTTTACTGAATTCCTACTATACTCTAGCAGTTGTTGTAGGTGTTGGAGTTATGGCATGAGAATAACTATGCTGTGTGTCTCTGACACATCTGTAAAGGCATAAAGGTGCTCTCTAACACAAAAACTGATCATTCTTAGTAGGAGCAGACCGAGGTTGCATCTGGAGTCTAGAAATGTTTTGCCAAGTCACATTTCAGACTGTGGACTAGAATCATATGGGCACCTAACTGTGTGCTGTTTCCCAGGTCTTTATTTCTCTTTCTTTATCTCTCCTTTTATCTGCTCCACCAAGTCGATCACCGTGCTGTCACTCCATGCATTATTCTTGACTCTGGTACTGGAGAGCCATGGGAAAATCCTGAAACACACATTTGTTTCAGTTTTTTTTTGTGTTCTTGAGAGGGGTAGAACATTTATAATAGGGCCAGATCTATGAACAGTATTCATAGCAAAACTTCAGTAAATTACTAGCAAAATTGTTCACACGTGAGTAAGTATAGGGAACACCAGCAAAGTAAGGGACATATTTTTAAGATATGTGTAGCTGCTGTTTAACGTTGAAATATTATAAGGGTTAATGTTTTCACTTTGCATATGCTTGCTGAGTTCTTTCTATGTGCCAGATTCCAATATTTTTAAGATCGTTTCTCAATCAATGAATACCAAGAGCACAATAACCATCACATGTGATTCATAAGTGCTTTTTGTCATCAAAAATACGTGCTCTTCTGAAATAATAAAATAAGTGGATCAGGATAAACCTATCAGATGTTTATTACAATGTGGTTTATAACAATGAAACCTGTGAAACAAACCTAAACAATAGAAGTGTGATTAAGTGCATTATGGGATAAAATGATACACTGCAGAGCCATCAAAATTATGATAAAGAATCAGTGAAGTGGAAAAATGCCTGCAATACTCAGTAAAAAGAAATTACATTGACAATATCATGCATTGTGAGACCACATTAACCTTTAAAAATCTATCTTTAAAGGTAGTTTCCTCTGTATTTATTTCCAGCAATTTTCTTTTGTTCAGGCAGTGATTCACTTCCTCACCACCTTTCACATCCCACTTGTATTCCTCTACCTTGTCCATTTCACAACACTGTGAACATGACTTTTTCTTACACAGAATTTTTAAAGATAATTAATGGTTGGTGGAACAGTAAGCTCTTGCCTCTCAGTTAAAAATTGAAAATTGAAAATATCAAATCTTTTGTCCATGAGCTTTTCATTTTCACTCTGGTCATTTCAGTATTTTTGTCATATTTTTATATTTAGCCTTCTACGTTGTCCTAGGTGTCTCAAAGTTTCAATAATCTTTATTTCCTGAACTCTAATGGAATACCTCAATTCTTCCTTAAAGCTACTTTTCCATAAACATTAAAGTTTTGAATTAGCTACTGTCTCCTTGGAGCACCCCATAGAAATTATGATTAATTCAGCCACTGCTCCTTTTCTCTGTGTTTGGTCTCCCAACCTGAAGTTCCTCTCCTGGATTTCTAAGAACTCATTCTCTTCACATCAGTTTCATCCAGTCACTTTAAATCACTACTTCTGCTTTTCCTGATCCACATTTTCTGGGTGTTCCTTCTCTTTTTAAATGAATCATTTCTTTAAAAATTCCCTAAACACTATTTTATGTCTGAGGATCACCCGTGAGCAGCTTGTCCTTGAAGGCCTATAGTGTTTAATGTGTAATTAAGACAAGACAGACAGATTTAAGAGAAGGCCTGGCTTCATGTTCTATGTATCTCCTAGGCTTCCATCTGCTGGCCACTCTCATCTAGTTTGTGAGCCTGATTTTTCTAAGAGACTCAAAATGCAGAGCAGAGAATAAGGAGGACTCTTGGGGTACTAGTAATATTTTGTTCTTATTTTGGGTGTTGTTTATGAGTTTGCTCAGAGGACAAAACTCACTTATCTGTATACTTATGTTCATTTCTTAGTATGCACACTGTATTTCATAAAATGTTAAAAAAGAAAATATGGTATATAACTACAATGGACTACTACTCAGCCATGTCAAATAATTAAAACCTATCTTTTGTGGCAAAACTGATATAACTGATGGGCAGCACGTTAAGTGAAATAAGCCAGACACAAAAAACAAATACCACATATTCTTTCCCATATGTGGGGATTGAATAAATAAACAAATAAGCAAAAAATCAATCTGAAGAGTGAATGTTGATTACTAGAAGCTGAGAGGGATGGTGGGGATAGAGGAGTTTGGACAAAGAATGTAGGGAAAGCTTGGTGTGATTCTTTAACTGGGACAGGCAAACTAACATGAGATATTAATAACAGGGGAAGCTGGATGTGGTGTATAGATTGTTACAAACGTGTCAGAGTAATATAAGATGTTAATAGTGGAGTATATGCAGAGTCTTATCATTTGTTCAAACTTTTTGTTTCATAAATTTAAAACTATTTTGAAATAAAAAGTTACTATGTTTAACTAGATCTTACCAGATACCTGCTGCTACATATCATTTTTATACTAAATAGAAAATATTCAGTGTGAGTGGGTTTGGGAGGAAATCACATTACAAATGTGACTGTAGTCAAGGCCAAACAGCTGATGCCTCGGATGTACAATAAATGTCAGAGACAGTGAGATGGAAACATGGAGACACATGTGCATTTTCCCAAAACAATCTTCTTTGTATCTCTCGCATTTCAATACAATAACATTATCAGTAGTGACAGTTGTCAACAGTTCCCACCTTGATTTAATTATCAATTTGTGAAGTCACTGCTTGCTACCAGATTAACCATTATGGAATCAAAAAGGACCTAGCCATTAGTATATTTTTTTGTGATCTAAGTGGATATTTTCTGGAAGTAGTTGCAATGAAATAAAGTATATGGTATTCATATAAAATTTGTTTGAATGATCAAGGAACAAACTTTCTTCTCAAATTTTATCCTACAGATTCGACCGTTTTAAGAGTGATTTTAGAACATAGTACTCTAAATATTGAAAAGTAAGACAAGTATGCTGCTATTCCCATTGGGCACAAATATTTTGATAAATTGAAATTAAAGACACCACTTAAGAGACTAATTTAGAGATATCACATGGCTTTGGCAACTGATATTGTAGTAGAAGTGGAAACCAGTGCTGAAACTTTCAACAAAACCCACCTTGATTAGATACCTAATTACAGGTGACATTGCTCAGCAAAGACTGAAACCCAATATCTGGTACTACTTCAGCACAAAACCACAACCTTGGGTAAGCTATTTAAACTTTCTGTGCTACAGTTTGCTAAATGATGAAATGGAAATAATACCTTCTGAAACGCTCTCCTTAATTTATGCCACAATAATAAAATATGATAATATGGAAAAGAGATAAAGATGAACTTTATAAAACTTATGTATGCATTTTACCTTATACACGTATCCATATTTGCTAATACATACAGAAGTATGATTTCTCTTTTTGGTGACTATATCCTAAATAGTTTTTACTTAGAAATTTTGTTGTTCAGTTTTAGGCAAATTTTGTTTCAGTTAGATATTACAATGACAAAATCAGTGGGTTTCAATAGAGACTAAGTTATTCTCCATCTGGAAACATAAAAGACAGATCTGAAATTTGTTTCTGAAACCCAGTGCTCGTAAGTCAGGACAGTAAAGAAGAAAAAAAAGTTCTTTAGAACATTTTATAGAGCATTAACTTTTGAGGTTAAGCTACCTCCAAGTCAGAAAGGTTTAAACAATTTGAATCAGATGAATTTACTTCGTCCCATAACTTCAAAAATCACGAGAAAATTGCAAGGTAATATGGTTAACCCATTTCAATGTGGTTCAAATGAATCCAATTTTAGTAAGAAAAGAAAATATAAAGTAAAATTCTTTTTCTTTTGAAGGCAGTGTCTTTATGACAATAGTATTGAGGTCATTTAAAATAATAATATCTAAAAAGGAAGGCAAGGGCATGTAGCACTTTGGAATAATGGGGCAATTGGTGGCTTCACATTGGAAGTGATATTAGGAATACTTTAGTCAAAGTTCACATCGAAAGCAATGGAGAGTGAACTAATCTCCCACGGATCAATGGCCATGTGCACTCATTACACCCTGAAAGCAGCAATGTTAGACTTCCCAAAGCACAGCCACAAAGTATAATTTCAAATCCAACCCTTTGAGGAGAAATGGAGAAACAGAGCGATCAGGGTGATAGAAAACTCTCCAAATAGAAAGGGGAGAAAGAGACTATCATCCTACTTGACATGAAAATGATCCTGTTTTGTATTAATTTTCAACCCCGTGATTTTAGTATATGTCCTGAAAGCTATTGAGAAGCAAGCTGTCAAGGGAATTACCTTGTAGCTATTAGGCTCACCTAAAGCCACGTTTTCTCCTGGCTTTGTGTCAGACGTGTTCATTGCTGGGTGCTCTTTCATCGGTGATTTCAGCCTTTTTGTGTGTGTGTGTGTGAGTGTGTCACCATCCCTAACCAGAGTCTTTTGCACAATATAGGTAACAATGATTTGAACTGATTAAGTTTTCACTCACTCAGATCAAACCAAGAAATACTATGCTTCATTCACATATATAAGCAGTACTGACTGCTTAACACGAGAAAATAAAAAAAAATTAAGTGTTTTTATTTAAAATTATCTGCTTTTGAAGGTGACATTTGATGCAGTGACATGATACTAATTGGGATGCCCTCATTGCATATTCGAGTGCCTGAGTCCAACTATCAGCTCCTGCTCTTGACTCCAGCTTCCTGATAATGCACACTCTGGGATACAATAGACAATGGCTCAAGTAGTTGACTTCCTGCCATCCACATGGGAGACCTGGATTGAGTTCCCAGGTTCTGGCTTCAACTTGGCAGAGCCTTGGCTCTTATATGCCTGTAAGGCATTAACCAGTGAATGGGAGATCTTTCTCTACCTATCTCTTTCTCTGTTTCTGTCTCTTTCTTTCAAAAATTAAGAAATAAAATAGAGTGAGGCTCCTCCTGGACTGTGAACGACAAATCCTATATATGGAGAACCCTCTAGAATGCTTCACTTAATATGGAAGAACTTTCTTCCTTATTCAGAATTACTTTCACCCTGAACTAATGGTCTCACTATCCAAGGTAGTTTCATCTTTTCTGTGTGTGTGTGTGTGTGTGTGTGTTAAAGACAGCAATGAAGATATTTAAAGATGAACTTTATCCTTGCTTGAAACGATTCAAACCTAATAATCATCAACTGAAATAATACTGTGAGATATGAGTGAGTGTCATTTGAGAAACATGGAAATGTACAGAAGTACAGAGACATGGGTATATGGAATCATGAACACTACATAAATTTATAGGTGATTTTACATGTACTGCAAA